CCCCGGCGGGCCCTTCCCGCTCCTCAGCCGCCTGGAGGCGGCCGACAACGAGGTGGCGGAGCTGGGCGCCGACATCGCCGCCCTGCCGGCCCTCAAGGTGGGAGCGGCCCCGCGGCCCCCCGCCGCTGACCCGGGTTCCCGCCGCCATCGCTGACCACCCCGTCTCTGTCTCTTCCAGAGCCTGGACGTGGCCAACAACCAGCTGAGGGAGCTGCCCGCCGCGCTGGCCGACTGCCCCCGGCTGAAGGAGGCCAACTTCAGGGGCAACCAGCTGAAGGACAAGCGGCTGGAGAAGATGGTCAACGGCTGCCAGACGAAGGCCATCCTGGAGTACCTGCGGGCTGGGGGCCGCGGGAAGGGGAAGGCCGAGAGCGCCAGAGAGGAGGCCAGGAAGAAGAAGAGGGAGAAGCAGCAGAAGAAGGATGGCAGGGATGGGGAGCAGGACGAGCTGGAGGAGGCGAGCAAGCTGCTGGTGAAGGTTCTGCACGTTTCCGAAAACCCTGCGCCCTTGGTGGTCAAAGCGAGCCCGGGCGTCAAAGATGTTCGACCCTTCATTGTGTGCTGCGTGCTGAAGGGAGTGAACTTAAAGGCGGGAAACGCTCTGAAGAGGTTCCTGTCCACGCAGGTAATTGCTGCGGTCTTGTGTTACTCATTTGCAACAGGAACGTTGCTAGCAGCGTTGGAAACGGACCGTTCTAGGCTCCTTCCAGCAGATAAGTTTCTGAAACTTGGAGTGAACTCTTCACTGAGCGGGTGGTGAGGGTACAGCGGGATGGCACTGCAGCGTGGCCTCTGCCAGCGGCGTGCCGCCTAGTCGCTCTGTAATAAGCAAGACTGGTGTTCATGAAGAACCTAGTAGGAGCTTAGATATTGCCACGAGAGGGCGATGAACGCACGCGCATTTGCGTTGCCTCTGTAACAACAGCTTGTTAGTGCCGTGGAACCTGTTCAGAACCAGTAGTAAACCCACCTCCACGGTACCAACGTACCTTGGTTTGGCTCCAGGTTCCCTAATGTGAGCTAAAACTGTCTTGCACGCCTAACCTTCCAACCAAAGTATCTTTCACCTGGCGTACTGCTCGCCTGTCCGTTCGATGGCAGGTGTTAGCTTCTTTCGGATTATGAGACTCACGTACTTGTGATTGTTCTCTGATTTAAACCTGTTTATCTCCCTGTTGAGAAACATGTCGCGTGCTGTCCTTCACTATCTTTATGTTTGGTTTGTAATCCAGATAAAATTATTTTGCGGGTGAAGAGAAGGGCTCCATTTAATGCAAAAGGGTTACTCAACTAGCTGATAATGCTGCAAACACTAAATATAGAAGGATCTGAACCCTTGGAGGAATAAATCATGTTGATGTTTTTGATATATTTTGATGGCATTCTTTTACATTTTAGACTAAACTGCACGAAGACATCTGTGAAAAGCGGACAGCAGCCACAATTGCCACCCACGACTTGCAGTTGATCAAAGGTCCTCTGGTATATGATGTTCAGCCTCCTGATGAACTGAAGGTAGGGCCAGTGGCACTGGTGGGCCCTTCCAATTTTTTTCCTTTTGCTTTCTGGAACTGTGTAGAATGGAAAGAATTTTTTTTTTTACCCTGTAGATGCTCGTAAAACTAACTCCAGGAACTTTAATTTCGAAGCTGTGCTAACTTTCTTGCTATCCTGCTGTAACAAAGCCTGCTTGAACAAGCCTCACAGAGCTGCCTAGTATTACTCCAGGACCAGTTATGAGTGCATCTGTCTGAGGACTTAAAGTAATCATGGAAAGCAGATGCAGGGTTTGGGTTTTTTTTTTTCTCTACAAACATTCTGATCTTGCTTAATGTGTACCTTGGCTTAGGGTGACTGAGGTATTGGTGTTTCAGTGTTGACCCTTTCTCCTGCGTTGTGGTCTTACCATCTTAACGTTCCCTGGAGGTCCGTATACGTTAGGATGTGCCTGGAGTGTCATACAGCAAGGCAGGTGCTCAGTCGTATGAGTGCACCTCGAATGGCAGCAGCCTTCAAGGTAACCTAATTAAAATCAACTCAGGTTCTGTTTATTTACCCAGTCTTGAGTTGTTTATGTTGCTGCTTTCAAAGAAGAGAGGGGGAAAAAAAAAAGCTTGCAGTATATTTGTGTGACAAGCTCTTAGACTGTACTTGTAACTTCAATCCAGAATACAAAAATGATACTTCAAATTTGTCATCCTTATTTATTTAGGCCTATTTCAGTCTGTCCATTGATATCCTGCCTCCAGAACCCACCTCGTTGGAGGACTGAACAGTCAGGATATTCTGACTCTTTGGGGCTGACCCAAAGTTTTTGTGGCATTCTGCTCTCTAGACACCTTGTGTTTGCAACTGTTCTGTGCACGTGGCCTGGTCCTTGGGAATGAATTCTTCGTTTTCCTGATGGCTCACAAAGCCTTTCGTCCATGGCTTCTGCTACGAGACAGCAGGTTTTCACATTATTCAGGGGGTAACGACAGTGAAGGAACTGGCTAAGGAAACTGTCCACGCCTGATTTAGTACTAGCAAATGAGCCTGTTTTTCAAGTGGGTGTTGGAGCTCACGCAGAGGTTTAAACTCCCTGTGATCATAGCAGTCCATGTGAAATAGAAAGTGTATTCCCATACCAAATAAGGTGTTAGGAATGACAGCATACAGAAGTATGGTTTTAATTATTGTCTTGCTTACAGGAGAGTTTTAACAACCCTGGTCTTTGAGTCACTCTTAAACTCAAACCTTTGTTTTCTTGTATGGTGTAGATAATGCCCCTGGGTCGAAAGGAGATCAAGGCAAAGGATCTTCTCCGTCAGCTGCAGTCAGAAGCTGAGGAGCAGAGGAAACAGAAGAAGCGTCAGAATGTTTCTGGGTTGCACAAGTCAGTATACTGACCTTTTGTGGGTTTTCTTCATGTGAATTTTGGTAACTTGTATGGAAAAACAGCACTGAAGAAAATGTGCTCAAATGTATTATGAAGCATGTTCTGTAATGGCGATGGGGTTAACAAACCCAGCGCGAGCTTTTAGGAGTTGAGATGAAAAACACTGAGCTGAATTTATAGGTAAAGAGTAACCTGGTGTGAAATGAGGATGATGAGTGCCTTCTGTTACTTCCAGCTGCATCAAGAGTAAATTCTGGTCATACGAATTATTCTTAGAGGTGACAGATATATTTAGAATAGCAAATAGAAAGGAAACAAGGAGGAATGAAGCGTATGTTGTGCACATTCAATAAACTAAGCAAATCAGAGGTGCGGTAAATCTGCACGTGGTAACAGATGGACGACAAAGCAGGGTGTGGTACTGCCCTATTCTGTTTACTGCTCATGCAGAGATCACCGCTCATATCTGTCGCTCGTATGACTTGGGGAAATTTGCCAAGTACATGATGGGAGAACTGTATATCGCCATAGTAAGTAAGAGGGAAAATTAAGTAAGCTGTCTGGAAGAATCAGACAGTGGACTCGGATTTTCCTGTTTGAGCACTGGGATCTCTGAAAGCACTAGAAGCATGTCTATCTACTTTGACAGCGTGGATATTAAAATGTAGGTTACTTTATGGTTCCAGCCCATCAATTCCTGCAGCTGGTGGCCTTCCTCAGCTGTATCACTATGATACCGTTTTGCTGAATTTTAGTGCTCTGACTTCTGTTTTTGCTACGTGGTAGATCAGGAACACACTAATTCGGTTTTGTCCTGATTTTCTGCTGTTGTGTCCAGCTGCTGTTTCAGTTGCTCGCTTTTTGCTTCTTTGTTTTTCATGGCAGGTATCTCCAGTTATTGGATGGCAAAGATAACTACCCATGTCTCGTGGATGCCGAAGGCATTGTGATTTCTTTCCCACCAATAACCAATAGTGAGAAAACAAAGGTACTCTCTGTTAGTGGAAATATGTTACAATTTTCTGCCGTTGTGTCCAGCTGCTGTTTCAGTTGCTCGCTTTTTGCTTCTTTGTTTTTCATGGCAGGTATCTCCAGTTATTGGATGGCAAAGATAACTACCCATGTCTCGTGGATGCCGAAGGCATTGTGATTTCTTTCCCACCAATAACCAATAGTGAGAAAACAAAGGTACTCTCTGTTAGTGGAAATATGTTAATCAGAATTAATACGTTAATACGTTAATCAGAATTAAACAGTGTTTCTTTCTACTGAGAGAGATTTAACTCCAGATTCAAAGATACGTGCAGTTCTGTGAAACTTGTGATTGCATTCCAAATATAAATCTTCAAAGCCTGAATCTTCTCTGCTAGACTGTCAGATTGAGCTGGATCTTGAAGTTACATTTTTACCTTTGTAAATCTGTAAAGCTCTGGCGAGCTATTCCAAAGGCACCAGTCTGCCTTTGCGGAGATGGCTTTATTGAGGGGCACGAATATGGTTTTTGACTTGTAAAGAAAGGCAGTACTTTGCCTCCAGTTGAACTGAATAAAAGTCTTTCTTTCAGTTTGTGTATTGAAATGTTGCCAAGTGACCGTGGGCGAGTACGCTCTGATTCCTTACTTGCCTTTACCTGTGAAATTCTTACAGATTAGTAGAGACACCCGTAATCTATTTCTGGAAGTGACAAGCGATACCAGTTTACACATCTGCAAAGATGTCATGGACACGCTAATTCTGGTAAGTAGTTCAGTAAAACAATCCTGTCTGTTCTTGGTGTGCTTCTTAACAAAACATTTAATTGCTCACATGTATTGAGAAGAATACAGAAGTTGATTTTTATTTTAGTATTATTATTTTTCCCTCTCCTTCACTTACTCTTCCATTCTTGCTGTATCGCAGAAGGTTTTTATATTCTTGTATCCCGACTAACTGGCAGACCTCAAAACTCACCAGGGTGAATAACGTTGTGTTACCACAACTGGAAATTTATGGTTTGACTTTCAACACCTTCCCCTTGTTAGTGATCTTACGGCTTCAATTGCTGCCAATAAATTCTTTTAGGGAGATTTCTCACCTCAGCCTGCCTGACGATTAGCTTGCTTGGTCCTATCGTTATTACAGAATTATCTTTCAGATACTGTATTAGCAGCAGGACAGTCTCATTAAATGCCATTCAACATGCTTTCTTCTAATTAAAGCTTTCTTACTGGAAAGGGTAAAACTTGGTATGTGGTGAGTACAGGATAGTATGCTGTTAAATATTTTGCAAGATAAATGTATATTTTCTTGTCCGGTTAACATAACCTTTAGGACACATTGGTGAAGGCTAACTGATTTGTGTAGTTGACTGTCCTGGTTTTCGCTGGGATAGAGTTAATTTTCTTCCTAGTAGCTGGTACAGTGCTGTGTTTTGGATTTAGCATGAGAATAATGTTGATAACACACTGATGGTTTAGTTGTTGCTGAGCAGTGCTTACACTAGTCAAGGACTTTTCAGCTTCTCATGCCCTGCCAGCGAGAAGCTGGGAGGGGGCACAGCCAGGACAGCTGCCCCAAACTGGCCAAAGGGCTATTCCATACCATACGACTCATGCTCAGTATATAAACCGGGGGGAGTTGGCCGGGGGGCGGCGACTGCTGCTCAGGAACTGGCTGGGCATCGGGTGGTGAGCCAATTGCATTGTGCATCACTTATTTTCTATATTCTTTGATCATCATTATTATTATTATTATTTTCCCTTCCTTTTCTGTCCTATTAAACTGTCTTTATCTCAACCCACGAATTTTACTTTTTTTTTTTTCCCCCAATTCTCCCCCCCATCCCACTGGGGGAGGAGTGAGCGAACGGCTGTGTGGTGTTCAGCTGCCTGCTGGGTTAAACCACAACATGGACACAAGGTGGTAACAGGGACAATTTCAAACGGTCCGAAAGCAAACTCGTCGGTGGCAATCCTACAGCAGGCTCTTGTTGCTTAGAATCCAGTGCTTTGACAAAGCCCGAGTTCTGTGATAAACGCAAAAAATTAAACTGTTCAGAAGGAGCGGGGCCTCCTGGAGAGCACAGCGGTGATAACATCAAAAGCCCTTTCGGTTTCCTGAAAGATTCTAACCCACTGAAGAATGTTTTCAGGCAGACGTTCCTCCAGAGGCTGGCCAGTGCCACACCTTGGAAGCAACCTGGAGTTGCTCTGAGGGCTTAGCTGCAGAATTAATCTTGTTTTCTGTATTTTGCTTTTAACAGAAAATTGCAGAACTGAACAGATTTACCTTGGAAAATAAGGAAGATTCGGGCTCGGATAACGAATCTGATGCTCTTTGTGGACCAGGGAATTTGAACCCCAGCCAAAATGTACAGCCGATGAATTTTCCATTGGTAGTGGAGCAGGTTCGAGTGGTGGACACGGATGGAAACTTGAAAGTACTTTATCCTTCAAAAACGGACCTAACCACAGTTTCCTCTCTTCTGACTGTAATACGTTAGCAGCTAGCAAAGCTAAGAAAATTACTCAATTTTCTTTTTTTTTTTTTTTTTTCCGTATTCAACAATGCAACTCATACACAGTGAGGTGGTTTGCTTTTTTTAAAGAAAAGGTGCAGTGCATCCTGCCTGGGTATGTGAAAACTTCAAAGTTTGATCAAGCTACGGCAAGGAGTATTGCATTCTTTCAGCCTTAACAGAAAGTCATCAGCATTCTGACTAGGTAGAGATAACAGCATCTTCAAATGTGAACTTAAAGGCAGAGAAGGTATTTGAAGTCAGAATGCGTTAACTTGTAGAGAAAATCATTATGACATCTTAGCATTTATAAAATGAGTGCTGTCGTATTTTTCTGTAAGATCACTATTTCTTCCTGGTATGTTTCAGCTGGATTATTATTTTGGCAGCTAAACTGAGAAATCCAGTAGGTGACAGCATTGAGACTAAGTCACGTGCTATGTACCAGTACTGAAGTCAGAATGCAAAACTACTTTGCTAACATCTCATTCTGCATAATACTATTTTTATATCCGGAGTAATTGTGAAAATTTAATTGCTGTCGGAACTTGAGGAATGAGTTTTAAAGTGATGTTAATGCCTGAACACAGAAACCACAGCTTCCGTTTTTAAGTGAAGTCAGTTGCATTGACTGCAGGGGTTTGTGTGTCCCAGCACCTTTCAGAGCCATCATCCATCCTTGTGGAAATGCCAGTTGTAGTGACCTTGTGTACCCATTGCGTTACTGTTGATCAAGCACTGACTTTATTCTTGGTCGTGAAGTTCAGTTCTGTTCAGAGGGCTAATGCTGCCTTACATCGACACTACTAAAGCTCCCTGTCTCCCCAGAATATAAGCACTCTTGCCCAGCATGACCCTCCTGGGGCTTTCTGTCACACTGCCACACGAAGAGTGTTGGGGACACCTTCCAAAATACAGGTAGCTGGAGTGGTTCTAATTTTTGTCCAATAAGCCTGTGGGTGACTTTTACATCCAGGCTACTACCTGTATGAATGCAAACCTCTCCATAAGCTAGGGTGACCTACAGATTGACTTTTTTCTGTTAAAAATGAGAGAGAGCTCTAACTGAACTTCTAGATACCGTGTCAAATACGTTCACATGTTGGGACTTGCATATTGAATGGAAAAATAAAACAGTTCTTGCAGTCATACGTCACTGTCACTTGTGTTGGCATTGGTGAATTTTCCAGTCATGTAACTGTACAAACTTGCCAAAGCAGCTATTGTATACTGCAAAAATGGTAACTTAACGCTTTCTAGCTACTTGTAGCCAAGCAGTCCTTAGTAGTGCTTCAGGCTTCCCTGTGAAGTCGAATGTTTCTACAGACCAATGATTTATAGTGAATTGTGCTCTGAGTCGGTTGAAACAATTGAATTAGATATTCCCGCAGAACTTGATTTCAGTAAAATGAGTTTAATTTGTTAGTAAGTCACCATCTCAAAACCAAGGAACAGGAGCCTGAAGTTGGCGACGTATTCTGACTCAGCCGTTAGGGCTGCTTTTCAGGCGTTAAAAGATGCTACCTTGCAGGACTCTTTCTCCTTCCCTTAGCACTGGTAGGCGATGAAGTAGACGTGTCGATGCTGTAGAGCGACGGGACCTTGACGCCTTTCTGTTTCAGCATCTGATGGAACTCCATCCGTTCATTAATTATTTTCTGAAAATTAGGGACGTATAAAGAGGTGGGAAAGCATTAGGTGGAGAGCAGTACTGCAGAGTGTTCTCTTACCTCATCAGTCCCTTGCCAGCTGCTAGAAGCAGGGTTCGAAAGAGCCACGTACCTGCATTGCCTCCAGCACCTCCTCATCCGTAACCTCTGCCTGGGGAGGCCTGCTGCCTGCCGTACTGAATGTAGCCTGAATTATTTTGCTTCGATACCTTTCGAACTTTTGATAAAAGAGGAAAGTAGGTGTGTTTAGTCTTTATATACAATTCTTTGGCATTTGCATGGATCTATAGAAACTACATGGTCAGACTTGGACAAAGTACTAGTGAATGATGAAATGGAAAGTCTGTTTATGTGAAATTACGGGCAGTTTGACTGGGCTTCACTGCAAGTACTGTGACAACGATGTGTTTCTGGGTGGACCGAGTCCCTTACCCAGGTATCGGGCTCTGTGCTTGCAACCAGGCAGGTATGCCTGCAGGAAATGGCTTTAAGGTGACACCTGTTACTTTGAGTCTGGAAGGTTATTAGAAATCTGGCGATGTAACTGTTCTGAACTCGAGTTTCTCAAGGGTTTCTGGTATTTGAGGCCTGTTTGCTTTGTAAGCGACGTAAGAGCTGCATGCTAAAAAGCTGGGAAGCAAATGGACTGAGTTTCCTGCTCCTCTGGCCCCATGGCTGCAAAGGGAAGCCGGGCCCCGAGGGCAAAGGACTGCAGCACCCTGGTGCATCTCCCACTGCGCTTCTGCCCAAGAATGTCTCTTAAGCTTTCAGATTCCCTGCTCGAAATGGTTGAAGTGTCTCCCAAGAGGGAGGTAGGAATCTGAAGTGAAGGAGGCTGCACTTACCCTGCTGGTGATGCATTCGAGCGCCACTCTAGTTCGCAGCTCCCTGTGCTGCAGTGTCTCAGCTTGGCTCTGGATCGCCTCTTGGGCCCGTTGCTGCTTGTGGATGTGGTATCGGCTGGTAAGAACCTCTGCCTGTAGCTGGCTGACTGTCCCCTGTAACTCACTGATCAGCTTGTTCTGCTCAGCCAGTTTGGATTCTTGTTCTGTAACAACCTGAGGAGATACATAAATCAAGCTGTTACTGTGAGGAAGAAAGTGAGCAGGCTTGGCCACATATTCCCAGGATCTGGTCCAAATGCTTCTTGTATTTCCCGGGCAGAGTCTACAGACTAACAACCTTGCCAGTACTGGTGACTGTTATTACGTGGCATTTTCTCTAAAACTACTGGACTGAGTAGGTGGTTTTTATGTGGCAAACTCCCCCAAGCCTAAAACAAGCACAACTAAGCAGCTAATACAAGAATTTTCTATAGCAGCTTAGCACCGAATTTACCTGTCGAAGACTGCAGTTCTCCTCTATTGTCACCATCATTTCTTCGTGTTTCCGTTCTTCTCTCAGACTGCAAAACTTAAGAGAAAATATTTTACACTTCGGTTTTGCAGTTCACAGGTGCACCTCCTGCCTGTGAGAAAGGGAACTGTTGCATAAAGCCCGAATTCCCCGCTGCCGGCTCTCCTAACGACGATGCCCACCACACTCTCAGGGCGGTACCTTGGTAGACATGGCTTGTAGCTGACTTTCTCGCTCTCTGAGCTGCTTTTGGAGCGTTTCCTTTTCAGATTTGGTTCTCCGAAGCTGGGATTCTTGGATCTCCAGTTGTCTTTGCAAGGAAGACATGGCACCTGGAAGGTTGGAGTACTACTGTAAGCAAACCGAATCCCTGCCAAAAGCTTCGTGGCATCTTTTTCAGGTAGGCGTAAGCGGAGCTGTTGTAACCGTCTGAGTATAGACCGTGGGTGAAGTTAACGCTACAGCCACAGCGACGCTGGTTAACAATGCGTTTCGTAGTACTTTGCTGCGATATATATTAAACTTAAGCAATGTCATCGTGTGAGGTAGGAGCTACTCTGAGGACTAATAGAGCTGGTAACACAAGCACAGGTTTGCCAGAGCGCTGAAACGCTACTGGATGCCCCAGAATGCTGCTCAGGGCTTCCTCTGCAGGGTTTCCTCATGCACTTCACTTCTAAGGGGGGAGAGAAAGCGGTTTCAAAATAAGTGGTGTTTCCGCCCCGCTCTGTGAGCAACAATCGAAAGCAGGTTTTGTGCTCACGGGAGCGTAACCTAGAATTTTTTTCTGGGTAAAAGGAGCAGAATCGCAAGAAGATGAAGCTGGTCGCTAGGATAACGGTGCGTTTTCTGGACGCCTTCCCCGTGGTACCTGTGGCCATGTTGTAGTCATCCCTTGCTTTCTGCAGTTCCTCACGGAGCTCTCGCTCGGCTTTCTGGGTCTCGGCGAGCTGCGCCGCCTGCTCCTGCAAGACCCCGCGATCGTCAGCATCGCCGACAACTTCGTCGGGGGCTGCTTTGCCTGAGCTCCCTCCTTCCATCCCCGCGCTATGGAGGGGGGTGAGGGCTCTCGCGTGGAGAGGTGGGCTCAGAACTGGGGCCGAAGCCCGAGATCAGAGGTGGCGGCGTCCTTCCCGGTGCCTGGGACGGCGATTCGCCCCCTCTCCCGGCGTCGTCAGGCGCCGGGCCCGGAGCAGGGCG